TGGTGCAGTGAAACCCCCCCCCCCGCCCCCACACACACACACACAAACCCCACCAACTCACCCCACTCCTGTAGCCAGGAGTTCTCCTCCCCACTCACCAGCTGTCTGGTCACATGCCATTGTACTCGGTGCCTCCACAGGGGGCTCTCAGATGAAGTGCTGGGAGCCCCACAGAGGTGCAAGCATACAGCCTGCCCAGTCTGATGGAGCTCGACTTCTGAAAGCCTGCCTCCCACCAGTTTTCAGAGGGGTGGCCACAGGCCAATAATTGTTTTTTGGAGGAGCCCTGCAAGGCGCATAGAAAGGCCTGGCAGGCTGGATCTGGCCTATGGGCCATATTTTGCCCACCCCTGCTCTATACAAGAGTCTTACAACAAAAAGAATGTTTAGTAACCTATAGGTCTCTTGACTTGGGATGGGCGAGGGAGAAGCTATAATTACATTTAAGGTTATTTATAGCTAAGTCTACGTTCCTCCCAGAAAACAAAAATATCTTGAAAAGAATCAGAACACAATGGAACCTGAGTAATTTTTCCTTAAAAAAACTACCCAATTTCCACCCTGAAAAAGCACCCATGTGTGATTGGAGGGTTTGGAGACAAAAATCAAACACTTGTATGAAGGTAAGAAGTAACATCACAGTAAGAAGTAAGCTCACCAGCTGCATCAATTCAGAACACAGAAGAAGAGTGTAGTATACACTGTTTGCCATGGTTTTAGGATTAGGGGTGATTGAAAAACGTGGAGCAGGAGATGAGTCTTTTGGAAGTCTCATGTTTCTCCACCTATGAATAATGGTCAGAAGTGGTTTAAGATCTAGGATGGCATGAAAGAGAAAACCCTTTTAAAAAAGGTTACAAGACTTTTTTTTTTTTGATTGTTAGGAATATCTAAACAGTAGGTAGTCAGTTTACATGCCCCTTGAATATTTCTGGGTGGGGGACACATCTAGAACGATGGCACCTAACTGTGGGCCTCATCTGGCGTATGGGGCTGATCTAGGGCTCCAGGAGCTACAGCAACTAACACTGCCCCCAGTGCCAAATTTCCAGACCTGTGGGGAGCTCCATGGGTTAGATGACATGGCTCCATGGACTAAATCCAGCCCATGGGCCATATATTGGTCACCCCTGGTCTAGAAGATTCTGTAAGTATTAGCAGACACTTCTCCTGCAACAACAGTGAATGATTATTCCACTGTTCAAGACCTCAGATGCACGTGGCGCAAAGGAATCAAGTAGCTTGTAACTGAACCCTTGGTTTCTCCCAGTTTGCTGAACATTGGGCTGCCTCTTTTTTTGGAAGTTGCTTTTCTCCCTGATCCTCAGAAGCATAACCAGTCAGTACTGCACTCTGGGTGGTGGCAGTGTACAGGGTAGAGGTTCAATACTGGGGTGGGGGAGGGAGCGGAGAGTAACCTTTTATTTTTGCTGTCAACGTATGTCAAGTGGCCATTTAAACTCCTATCTTCAGTGACCAAGAAAAGGAGGTGACATTTCCCCTGACCCTCTGCCCCTTCCCCACACCTTAACAGAAGCAAGTCTCCCATTACTGCTTTGCTGTTCCCACTGCTGGACTTGAAGTCTCTTCAGTGAAGCTGCAGGGTACAACAGGGAGACAGGACAGAGAATGGGAAGGAGAGGCATTCCTCTGCTCCTTTCCAGCACACCCTGCTTGCTTAGGCATTGCCCCACCCACCCATCCATCTTTACATTACCGTTCATCCACATGCTGTATTCCCTTAAATGGGGAAAATGGGAGACATAAGGCTTCTTCAAAGATGCTAGAAGCATTTATAACATGCTTCCATGTTATACACCTACCAGGTCATGTTCCCACTGGGACACAAAGTTAAAGTTATATTCAATATTATTTAATAGCATTAAATAAAGCAGTAACAGGTCTTGACATTCAGACTGGTAGAGTACAAGATTGCAACAGTGCTGGAGAAAGGGATTACACTAAAACAGACAGTACATACTAGCAGGACAACATCCATGCCAGAATAGCTATCGTATGTTGTACTTCTGGTAACAGGCTCAGTCTCAGTGGAGGCCAAGTACTGGAAATACCCAGGAGTCAGAGTTAATGGTCTCTGACCTTAAAAGTGCTCCATACAGGAAGAGGAAGAGACATCCTGTTAGGTTAAGGTCATCATGGTGAACATGCACTGCTGCCATCTACTTATACCTACTCTGACTGAAGGACTCCGATTCCCATGGCTATTAATTATGAAAATTAACGGACCCTTTTCTCACCTCCTAATTTGCTGCAACCCAGTACTCCAGAAACTTCTAAGGGTTGTAAATTACTTTAAGGGAAAAATAAATAAATAAAGCAACCAGTTTGAATGGCTAAGATTGATGCTTGTTCTTGCAGCTCCTTAAACATAACGGATGATAGTGCCAGACTTTCTTCTAGCATAAAATGCAGCCAGTTGTATGGAATGCTTTAAAGTGCCAAAAATAGAAAGCTGATTTGTGAAGGCTAAGATTTTGCATCAGCAGCGACTGAAGCATTTGTTATGGTTCACAGAACTGGCAGAAATGATTTCAGTATCTTTTTTTTTGGTGCACATTTTTTTTAACTGATCTCTTTTTCACAATACCCCACTTTTCCATATCTGCCTTTCCGGCTTCATTTTTACCGTCAATACCACTTCTTTTAAATAGATATACACCAATTTTAAAATTAAAAAATATATATATATATATTTTCTTCTTTACAAATGATAATTAGAAATTATGGCTGTTGGCCACGTATCACATTATAGTAACAGGAAAGAAATGAAGGATATGGAAATAGCCATACCTCACACCTACTTAAAAGGTAGAAGTAAACTCAGTCTCCTGGGAGAGGATTAATTGTCAGTGTCTTCAGCTTTCACTGCAAGTGTTCTCTGCCTGGCCCCAGGATTAGCAAAGAAAAGAATGGTGCGCTAAAATGAAAGTCCCATGGCCTTGCTTGAAGCAAAGCTCCCATACCAGTACCTATTCCATACCACAGAGGCTGTTTGTTTGGTTTTTTTAACTTAACTGTCACTAGCACCATATGCTGTGCTGCGGGGAAGAACAGTTTAGCTACCTCAGGCTGAAAAATCATAATCCCAGGAGTGTCCCTAACTTGCTAGCCCAAACATCCACACTCCCAAATCATTTCCTGTTCTTTACAAATCAGAGTAAACTTCTAGTAGGACTTCCACTTGTCAAAAAACCTCTGGAAACCAAATGTTTGTATCTCCCTACTTCCACAAATTGTCTGGCAATGTCCCTCTCTTCTGTGCTTTGAGATACCAGTTTTCTTCCACTTAATCTGATTACTAGGATATCCTGTCTTGTCAGATCAGATCAGGAGAGACTCTGGCAAAGGAAAGTGGCTAGACAATCCTGCCCTGACAGAGGCAATAGAAATACCTGTTCTGACTTGGGTGGGTTTTCTGAAGAGGACTGGCAAGGGTACAGCTACAGAGATGTACTTGGCCACTTCTGCACCCTGAGCGGCAACAGTGCACAAGGTAGCGTCAGTAGCTGTGGCTGTTATTTTTGTGTCTCCCCTGCAACCGCATCTTGGTGCCTGGGACTTGTGCCCTGGTCACTCCTACCTCTAACTATGCAACTGTGTAAAGAGCACATGTGGGTCAAGAATAAACTCATCAAGGGGATAGGAGGAGGAGAAACAATAAAATGGATTGGAAACAAAATACTTACTGAACCTCACTATAGTAGACCTTAAATCAGGGGCGGGCAATTATTTTGGGCAGAGGGCTGCTTACTGAGTTTTAGCAAGCCATCGAGGGCTGCATGGCAGGCAGCCAGGGGCAGATAAATATTAAGTTTTTTAGGGGCCCCGTGGGCCAGATAGAATGGCCTGGTGGGCCACTTCTGACCCACGGGCCACATTTTGCCCACCCCTGCCTTAAATAGTAATCTGCATGGTTTCCACCCCGCTACTTCCAATAACAGAATAAAAGAAGTAGAGTTTTGCCAGAGCTCGTTCTGTGTGTTGGAACTACACATGGGGGTAAAAATCTAGCTTATAAAAATTGCATGTTCTTGAAACATCACCAATATAAGTACTGTAATTTAAATAAAGTTGCACCAGATATGAAGAACAAAAAAGACTACCAAAGCTCAGTAAAAATACTATCCCTTCCAGTCTCTCCAGATTAAGCAGCGGCATCTCCAGTACTGGGCAAGAGAAAATGCCTTGTTGATATCTCCATGGACA